CCGAAGGCCTCGGAGGGCGCCACCACACGGATGGGTTGGGGGTTTCCGAGCCCATCATTGAGGGTGATGGCAGGGTAAGCGTGGGGTGAGAGGTAGAATAGGAATAATTTGTCGGCTCCGAAAACGCCTCCCGATGCAGATTGGCCTGTGAAATAGTTGGAAATCTTAGCCCGGTCTTGGATGACCGAGTAGGAGGTGGAGATGTCGAGTGCGTCGTCGACGAAGAGGAGGCTGGAGATGGTGCGTGTTTGGGTGCCTTGTGGGTGTTAGCTGTGAGTGACATGGACGGGGTCAGTGCCACCCTGTTGTTGTCGTATGAGAGCATCCATGTAATAGCCAATGTGTATGACCGCCAGTATGGAGCCCTGGCCTAGTCTGAATTCACGGATGCCCCCGTCGAGCCATCCAAAGACCGTGCGGATGTCAATCTGGCTGGCTTCAAGAAAATGGTCCATGAGCTGGCGAGGAAGGGATGGGACACCGAGCTTGCGGTAGATGTACTCCATGACCCAGCCTGGATGCGATCGAAACATTTTAAGCAATCCTTGGATATAAGGAAGAGCTCTTCCTGTCGTCGTTCTGCGCGTTCGATGAGGAGTGAGGTGAGCACGGCTACAGCTTGGACAGTGCGGTCCCACTGAAATCCGTTTTGCATCTCCTGATTGGGTAAGCAGGGGGAGATGTAATCCCGTATAACGGTGAAAATTCGACTGTTGAGGGCAGTCTGAACAATGATGGGGCGCCAAGGAGGAAGACCAAGGTCGAGGTTTACCACGCCGCGGGCAATGGCCGATTTGGCGAGGTATATCATCTGCTTGTGTTCGAGGATCGGGGGGACTAGGCATGTGCGTAGGATAAGGTTAATGACGGTTCGTTCCCGTTCACGGATGCACGCCGAGGCAGAAATCCAGAGTTCCTGGGATACACCCCCATAACCTGGGGACACTCTCGTATGTAGACTGCGGTCACAGCGTGCTTGCATATCTGCATCGTAGTGATAGGTGGTGTCCCATGTGGTGCCCGCGGGAGTTTGGAAGGCCTGCGCAACGACGGACGTCTGGGCGATCCATATCATGGAGGAGGCAGTCACTGACAAAGTGGGGCCTTGGAGGCGGTCGGAGTGTATCTAAGTGTCGAGGGCGGGTGGTTTTTTCAGCGGGGGGGGTCCAGTTGTCTAGCAGCAGTCGGAGTCCTGTTCGGAGTCTGCTGCAATGCAACCTCTTCCTGGTCCGAGCTGTAGCGGGGGAGGACATCTGCAGGACGGATTATGACACTCTGGATGGAATGGGTGGAGTGGGTGCTCCGAGTGCTGATCGGAGGAATTTCCGCGTTTGGCGGCCTTGGAACCATGCGGTTCGTTGGTGCACGCGGGTTTGTCGGATGCAGGTGGTACGCCAGTCGCGCCTTTTGCGACATACATTTTTCCAGCGTGCGATGCCCTGTCGTAGCCAGCGGTCCCAGTCTTGGGTGGTGTCCTGTGCAGTGGGCATGTCAGTCCACCAGTCACCGATCGCTATGGCGCCAAAGCTGTGCCAGCACGTGGACGGGGGAAGGTTTGGAATGCGGATCCATTTGGGCAATTCCACCATGTGGGCAAGTCGGAGATTAGATATTCGGCCCCTGTTGGGGTTACGGTTTCATGGATGCTGAGCAGGTAACGGAGCTGTGCAGTGCACCGGTTGGTGCGTTGGATCGCCACTGCCCTGTTGAGGGCCTTCCGAATGTGGCTGGTTTCCCCCCACTGGATTTTGGCGCTGGTGTATAGGATATCGTAGAGATTTTGGACCGACGCCTCGAGCCAGTCGGTGGTATCTTGCGGAGACTAAGTCGTGGCCGCATGGGGGGTTCCGTAATTAGGGGGGTAGGTGGCCGTCAAGGAGGAGTTGAGAGGTGTGCGGACCGAATGTGGTGATGTCCCCCTTCGTAAGGGAGCGTGTGGGCTTGACACCTGAGAGGCGCGAGGGCGTGTGATCGCCTGAGCAAAGGGCTAGGTCCATAAAGGGGGTGCCAGCATGGTCAATGGAGTGGATGGTGTGAAGCCAGATGCCGCTGGCACTTAATATGTGGGCGGATATGGCGGTGATGTAGATGTCATCCAGGGCCACGGAAGTGTTGTTACGAGCGTAGGTGTGGCGTAGTAGGCTGGGGTGCCGGTGGCGGAAGGTGGAGAGGAGTCCTATACTCTGCATCCACTGCTGGAAGGCTACGCCCATGTCTATGCTGGGGCCCGAACGGGGTGTTGGAGCGGATCGATCGAGGGGGTTGAGGCCATAGGTGTTAAAATCCCGGCCCATGACTACAAAGTGGTGTGGTCATGTGCTCTGTGTGATGGCCTGTGTAAGCTATTGCCATTCCTGGTCGGTAGCCTCGCGATGAGCCGCAGGGGTGTCTTGGCAGTACGTGCCGATGAGGGCTAGGAGAGAACCTTTTCCAAGGCGGACACAAATGGAGATTCTGCGACCCGAAGGGGAGTAGGGTGTACAGTACATCATGAGTGCCAGCGTTGTATCATACAAGATGCTGACTCTGTGATTACTGATGGCCATGAGGTGAGGTGTGAGGGAGCCACTGGGTGTGGGGGTCCAGAGTTGTGTGGCCTTGTGTGCGGGAAGGTCGGAGTCAGCGATGATGAGAATGTCCAGCGCGCTGGCATGGAACCAGGTGGCCAGTTCATCTCCCGCTTTACCATACGTGTTTTTATTGATTTTGGTCGATGCAATACACAGGCTATCTATCTGGCGGTGCGGTGGGGGTGCCTTTTCCTGGGTCGCCAATGTAGACTTCACATTTGAGGGATTCACATCGGAGGATGTTATCAAGTTGGTGTCTGGCCGTGTCGGCGTCAGGTGGGGGGAGAGGAAGGCGCTGGAATCGCCAGGTGCGTCAGCGGCGGCGTTGCCGGGGAGAGGTGGTGTCGGGGACACTCGGCGGGGTGGTTGCACGCGTCCGCACTACGGGCATCGAGGAGCTCGAAGTTGTTATAGTCATCCGACGAGTACGGATCCGGCAGGTGGCCGAAGTTAACGACTGGAATGGAGGGGTGTAACGAAGGTGTGAGTAATGGTGGTAGAGGTGGTGGAGGAGATAAGAAGTGGTTGGCAGCGGCCAAGGATGGGTAGCAGGAGAACCAGAGCAGTAGTCAGGAGCCACCATGTTCCAGACCAGAGGCGTTGCCGGTGTGTCGTCGGTCTGGCCCGACACCCCGTGGTTAGTTTGACGCCATGTGTTCGTCTGGCTCCGTGCCCATGTTATCGTTGGGGCCTTGGCCAAGGGCCATTAGTTCATCCTCCTCAGTGTCGAGTAAATTCGTGGGGAAGTCGGTGACGGGTGGCATGGGTGCGGCGGGTGGGAGGTAGAGGCCCGAGGCCTGTCAGGGCGGACATTTGGGAGTATGCTGATTACATGGCCTGCAGGAGTATGTGGACGCTGATTTGAGGTAGGGGAGACGTGCGGCTAAAGCGGCCGGTTGGGACTCGTATTGTGCGACCACGGTGTTCAGTTTGTTTTGCGCCTCGGTACATAAGCGGTTGTCTTCCGCTTGGAGGAGTTCCTCGGCTTCCCGTAGGCGCCGTTCCTCTAGCAGGCGCGCATCCAGAGTGGAAAAAGTAGCGCTGGAGGCGGAGACAAGTGCATGAGGGCTTCTTTGGCGGCCCGGAGGGACTCAACCTCCTGTCGGAGTGGGGTCGTGGCCGATACGATGCGTTGGTCCACGTATGTGGATAGATCACGTCGGAGGTATAGACTGAGATCGGTGTTGGGGCCGGGGACCTGGGCCGGGTGGAGCTGGAGAGGGAATTGCCAGGCCTGGTGGTCGTCCGGGGCGGAGTGTTGGGAGGCGGAGCGGGGGTATTGTCCCGCGCGGCGGTGTCCACTGGTCCTGCGCGCGTGTGTGTCCGGGCTGTGTATGTCCCTGCGAGCGGTGGATTTGTGCTGGGATTTGCTGCGGACGCGATCCCGTGTGTCAAGATAGGTGAAGCGGTCACCGGGTTGGCACTGGTAGTCGTGGCGTCCACAGTCGCGACACTGTACCGGTGTAGCGGACGGACGGGGGTGACCAGTATGTATGTGCAGATGGACGGCAATGTCACGGATATAGAGTCAGGTGTCGCCATGGGGGCCAGAGGTGGACCAGAGAAAGGCAATGGGCGGTGGTGTGTCGAACGTTAGGGTGGCATAGCCGTCGACTGTTGACGTCTGGGATGGCGCGGCATGACCCGCGGAGCGCGGCGAGGTTATCCTCGGTAGCTGTGAGTGGTGGAAGACGACCAATGCGGACTTCGGTATGCACAAGCGTTGCGGCACTGGTGGCCTGGAAGAAGGTCGATGTGGGGTTGTCCCAGCAGAAATCACGTAAGGGAAGAAGCTTCATGGAGGGGGGGAGGGGCAAATCCAGTCGGTTGGGGTCGGCCACGTGTCGGCGGAAGAAGGCGTATACAGATTCTGCCATTCTTTGGCTGGGGAAGGCGAGGCAGAAGCGAGCGATACTGGCCTTCCGAGGGCCAGTTAACACAGCCAATGGCAGCCCAGTGGTCACGTGGGCCATGAGTTCCGCACATCCGGGTGTGGCTTTGGACGATTGCGTCGGTTGCCCTAAGGGCTCGTAGGGCGAGCATGAGGACTCCAGGGGTGAGTTTGGATGGATTGTATTCGAGTTGGTGGAATAGAGCCCGTTGTCGAGCACACCAGCATAATGGTCGACCATAACCACATAGATGTCGCGGAGGAACAGATAGCCACGACGTGGTGCTGCCCAGGCCTGGATGGTGCGTTGTAGGGGGTCCCCGAGGAGCTGCTGGCCGTGTTCCAGGAGGCCGCCACGAAAGGTAAGGCCGAATCGTTCCTGACAGATGTCCTCGATCTCTGGACGGTAGTTGAGTATGGTGAGTTGTTCATCCGGACGTTGGAGCGACGGGTTGATAGAGAAATGTATACGGACTTTGGCATCGGCGAAGTGGCGCTCCACTTCAGCGAGATAGTCAGCGGTGAAGCCTTGGAAGAGGTCTCCCTCACGTTCTCAGTAACGTTGCATGGTGCGGTACATGATCGGCTGACCTTCGTAGTGAAGGTTGCGAATGCCCGGAAATTGAAGGGCTGTGGTGGCGTCATACTCCTCCTGGTCATCTTCGTCGATTGTCGGGCCAGCAACTCCGCGCTCGGTCTGTGCTGGTTCGTAGGGGCTCGGTTGGTATTTCGGGGTGGGCGGATAACGCATATCGTGGTGGCACTTTGTCGACGGGAGGCGAAAAGAGGGGTGTGAAAAGTCAAGGTCTGGTTCAATATCTGAGTGATGGTGTTTGACTGGCGGTGGGTGGGTATAAGAGCCAGTGTGGGGGGTGGGATGGGGGGGGGCTGCCCAGGTGGTGTTGGGGCCGGTGAGGTTGGCGTGTCCTCGATAGTTGGTTGGATGGTGCGCTTGGTGGGGTTGGTCTCAGGTTGCTGCATTTTGGATGATGCCGAGCATTGAGTGGACATGTATTAGTTGGTTGGCTCGGGCTTTTCTGATGGGATGGGAGTAGGGAATGTGATATCCCGGTTGGTGGAGACAAGTGGGCGTGTGATGTGTCTTGACGGGGGCTGTGGCAGTTTGTGTGGGAATTGTATGTGTTCGTCCAGAGCGTGACGCAGGGGGGTTCCTGAGTTGGTGGCAGTACAGCAGTTGTGGGACGTGGGTCAGGTGCTGAAGCAGGAGTGGGCGTGGGCTGTACAGTAGAGGGGGCAAGTCGCGTGGCAGGGGGACCCGGGTGTGAGTGGGCAGTGGACTCGTGTGTCTGTGCGTAGGCTCCTGTGAGGATTGATTTGCGTGGAGGCGGAAGTACGTAGTGGCTGCAGACTAAGTGGGATGGGAGTGGCGTGTCTCATGCATTGGGATGGCATGAATATGTAATTGGGGGGTCAGGGTGGGCAGTAATGGGTGCTTTGCGTGCAGTAGATACGGGGAGAGTGATAGGATGGGATGCCAGTGCGTTGTGCTGAGGTTGACGCCATATGTCGGGAAGGGAGCTCTGTGTGGATGAGCCTTTGGCCGGCTTGAAGGGATGGGGGGGAGTATGAGTCGGTGCAGGTGGCGCAGTGGCGTAGCTTTGCGTAGGTGGGTGACGGTATGGGGTGTGTGCGTCGATCTAGGGCAGGGCGGCCGGTTGTCGGAGCTGTGTGACAACTGGGGTGTGGCTGGTTGTGCCGGGCCGGGTGGGTCGTGTATGCGTGTGGCGCGGCCGATTAGCGGCCCGTTTGGTCCTGTTGTTGCGGTCGTGGCGAGTGAGGAACGTGTCTGCGGCACGCTTGGGCCGGAGTTGGCGGGCAGTGAGAGGCAGGTCAACAGGGCTCTCGGTGGTGTCGGAGGCAGAGTCGTTCTCGGATGAGGATGGATGAGGTTGGCGAATGTTACCTTTAGCCGGCACCAGTATGGCGGTGGGGATGGCATTGCGGTGGACGATGACGGTAGCCATAGGGGTTGGCATGGTCGTGGTGTCCGATAGTGTCGGAGGTATTGGTTGCTGCTTGCCGGGGTCCGGCGGAAGCGAGGCCAAGGTCGTTGTTGTAGCTTGTTGGTATGCTCGGGGCGCCGCGACCCACTTGTGGGTTACAGTGCTGTACCAGGTATATTTGGGAATCATAAGTTACATAAGTTTAACGTTAGTGACATCATATCTATCCAATCAAACTGCATTATGATTAGAAATCCAAGGATGCCGGCAAGTTGCGCGGGAGTGGCGCCTTATCGCGCAACGCAAGGCACACGGATTACACGACTACAGTATAGTAGCCTATAGTGCACACGTTAAAACTTGCGCTGAGCTCTGGTGTACCTGAGAGTGTCGTCCATCGCATGCCCGTCTTGGCCAAACGCTTCTACTGGAAAGCAATGATAGCGAAGTTAGCAAGCGTAGACTAGACGACATAACATACCCAACCAAGTATGTTCTCATCAAGGAGTATAACATTTGATTTACATGCGTGTCATTCATCATGCTTGTCTCCGCGGATCCAGCAAAGTCAAAATGTGTGGCAAATACAAATACCTTTATCGTTGTAAGCAAACGAAAGATAAGATTGTAAGGGTTTCGTAGACATTTCGTAAACCCCTCAATACAGTTATCTCTAAATATCAAGTTGAGCGTGTTTACTGTTAATGTCAAACTATTGTCGGTGAGTTTGTTGACGATGGTAATAGCTGGGTCTAATAGCATCCCCACCGGTACGACTGTAAACGCTATTTTACCGTTCTATCCAGATTTTTAAAGTTTTGACAACCCATCGGGCAAATGTAAAATACAGGAAACTGTATAATTTTACCACGAGACTGCAAATCGGCTCCGTACATGCGTGAGTACCTAGTGAATTCCACGTCATCACCGTCGTCCAAATCAAACTCATGCCTCCGGGTTTAGTTCCGGATGTGATAGCTATGCGGATTTTTTACCGTTTTACCGCTGGGGTTGCCGAAAATCAAAATACAGGAACTATAAAACGGCATTTTAGAGTCTGATTATACAGTCACACAGGTGGGGATGCCCTAAAATAACAGCAGTCGTGTCAAGGCTGGGGCTGGTAGCACGCCAGCCTTGGCTCCGTCCACAGCCACCTTTCGGCCTTGGGTATCTTTGAGCCGGCACAAGCCATCGTTGAGGTTGCACCACGCAAACAGTTTGCATCACGGTGTCTTTTTACATTCAGCGCAGCAGGATTCAGCAGTCGCCAGATTGGTCGAAGACAAGTCGCCGCCAACATACTGTGTGTTGTATTCCAAGGTGCCACACGTGCTTAGGTCATTGGTCAGGATGAGGACTTGGGTGGCCTTGGATGGCGGGGGAAGAGTCAGACCGGGGATGTCAGCAGCCACGGCATTGAAGATGTTCAAGCGTGTTGCGTCTCAACTTGACGGACCTTGAGAAGTCCGATCCAAAGGCAAATCACAAAGTGAATTCCCCCCAGTGGCAAGTAGTCACTGGAGCTTATTCTAACCTAATCAGACAGCTGCTTGGCAACCAATAATCTAACTAGCGAATAGGATCACACCCATGATATCCAACCTAATCGAACACTTGGATACCTTCTTGGGAGGGGTTCAGGGGTTCTGCGAATGGCAAATTCGCAACAATCCCTCCTAACGATTTCGTCACGCCCAACGCAGTTGCTATCGCCCTGACTTGGGGATCGGCCTTGTTTGAGCGCACGTAGCGCTTGATCTCAGATGGAATGTCTTCCAACAAATTGGCCACCGGCTCCCACGAGTCTTCAATTTCTTATAGACCGCGCCAGCGTACGCCCACTTCAAACGCGACCAAAGGATCGTTGTAGCGACAGTCGAGGAACTGGTCGACCACATGGCCGTCGGCATTGTGCGCAATGTGGCGCAGCCGTTCTTCCGTCACATCCAAGGCGTTGTTGGCGTAAAACTTCAGACGACTACTGTGGGCTTCACGGACCACCCCCGTCACCAAATCTTGGATTTCGTAACTTGCTTCACCGCCGGAATTGCAATGCGATCCAAGGGCGACACACTCGGTGCTAGACCACCGAGTGTGTCGGACGGACTTTGGTTAAGGACCAACACCACCACTGGGATAATCAGCCGCCACTGATCTGGCTGCATCAACCACTTGGACAGGAGAGCTCGGAACGCCTTGAGGGTCGTTTTCGTTACACTTTCGACTGTTCCGTTCGCCCACGGACATCTGGCCGTTGTAAAATGATGATGTACCCCCAGCACATGCTTGAGCTCGGCAATCACCTCGTTCTTGAAGTGGGATTCCTGGTCACTCACCCAGTGATAACACAGAACCACTGCAGCAAACAACGCGCCACAACTTGCGCGTTCGCCAAGTCGGATTCCCACAACCACTTGAACTGGCTAGAATCATCCTTGACCACAAGGATGTAGCCACCATCCATGTAGAGAAAATCCCAAAGAAGGATTTCATTGGGCTTTGTGGCATGCGCCGTTGCACCAAACGGGCGCAAGACATGACCACCCGTACTGGCACAATGCGAACAACGGCCAACAAAGTACGACACGTCCGAGCCAATGTCGGACCACCAAAATCGATCCACCAGGATCTGCTTCATCGCGTTGGTCCCACGGTGTCCTCCCACACCAAAATGCGCGACCACACACAACCGCATCTGCAGGTCACTGGCAGACGTCGGAATCCACACCGCTGCAGTGGCGGTCTTGAGTACCGGCACGTTGTTGTCGCCCACTTCCACCTGGTGTTCCACCAGCTCGGCGACAGGAAATTCTTCATTTCCAACGGCTTGGACTTGAGCATCCACGATCTCGGCCATGGTTGGCCAAATGAATTCGCCATTTCGCAACGGCGAAATATGCAACGACACGTTCACGATGGAGCATATAAGATTGGAATTGGAATTTGTTCCCCATCGGGACAACAAATCCGCCCACACGTTGACATCACCAGAGATGTCATAAATGGTGTAATCGTACCCCATGAGTACTAGCGCCCAGCGATCGTGTTTCGCTGCCGTGTACTTCGGGATCGCGGCGTTCGCACTGGCCGGGTTAAAAATGAACTTGAGGTTTGCGTGGTCGGTGAACAACGCAAATCCACCGGGCTTGTGGAGCAGGTAGTCTGCACGCTTACGACACTCCACGATCGAGAACGCCTCCTTCTCGACGATTGCTAGAAAATGTACCGCTCAGAAAAATAAGCGGCTCATGGTCTTGAGCGTCCAACTCACGATCCACTTGATCGTACGGAATTTGCGTAACCACGCCGCCCCAATGCAAATCGCTGGCGTCGGCGAACACACAAATAAGCCGCTCCGGCTTTGGATGGTCTCGGATCACCACACCGCCCAGGGCATCCTTGCAACTTATGAGGCACGCTACATGCTCAGCGTTCCATCCCACAGTTCCATCCCACATCGGCCAACACAACTTTGGCCACCTTCTGTCCAGTTGGTTCACCAGCCGCCTTGTACACCGACTCCAGCAGATCG